GGGACAAGAGAACAGTCCCCAGCCAGTTGGCATGGGAAACAGGAGAGGTGCCAGCATGGGTCCCAGTAGTGGAACCTGGAGAAGGGGTGCAGGAAGGCCACAAGGTCACAAAAGCCAAGTATTTCTTTTTTCTTTGTGGGAGTCATTCACATCCTCACTTAGCACCGGAGGCCAATTGTCCTCTGCCCAGCTAGAGAGTCAGCTGCATCCCAACATCAGTGGCCCTATTGTTCTACGGCTACTTCTACCCTGGTTCAAGCCCCTTTGTGTATGTTTGCTCGATGCAGCAAAGGTTACATACAATCCGGGGTGCTGGAGAGATGATGTTACAGCGGCTGGTGCCACGACATCCATGTAGCCGTGTATTTCCTTTGCTCCAAGACTACAGCTTTGGTGTAAAATGCACCCTACTTCTGCTTCTGGCCCTCTTCTAACTGTTCTCTAGGCCTCTGTCTCCCTTTTGTAAAATGGGTATGCAGCAGAAGGTGAGGTCGATGTGAGCAGGCAAAGAGGGTCTTGTGGGGCAGGACCAGCCAGGGGCAAACACCAGATATATCTGCCTTCTCCAATGGCAGGCAGAGAAGCAAAGCGCACTGTCCCTTAGGGAACCAGGCTGACACTGGCAAGGGGGTTACTGTTGTGACCCAAGAGGGCATCCTGCTGAGAAAATATTATGCCATAGAAGCGCCTTGCACAGAAGTGGAAGTGTCAACTGAAAAAGAAACTCCTTCATTTCCTCCAGCTTTGTCTGGAGGGGTAGAATTTTGACGTGTCTGAGATCACAGATGCCAATGTGTAGAATCTGGCAGGGAGGGGAGGACGTTGGGGGAGTGGCCTCGTTTGGGTGATGGTATGGATTGCTGTCTCTACCGTCACCACCGTCACCAGCCTGGACACACCAGTGTACTTCCTGATCTCCCTGGGAGCTAAATGAAATTAGAATATCTTAGCCAGTAGCGGTGTCTACCTGTAATCTCAGTGTGCAGAGCTGGAAGGTCTCAGATCATGAGACTGAGACCCCACCTGTGCTTGGGGATGACAGAATACACCAGGTCTCTCGACAGCATGTCCTCTGCCATGGGCTCAGCAACATCCGGGTTTGTAAGTAACATGCCAATTTCAGTCCCTATCTGTCTGTGCCTTGCCTGGAGCTTCACAAACCTGTCTCAGTGTTTGCAGGCTGCCTTCCCAGCTCAGGGCTAAAGTTGTATGACACCAGCCCCTGCAAGTTCACACACTCTAGACGTGCTTGTGGGGGGGGGGGCACTGTGATAGGTGGGTCAGAGAAGCTCAGCCCTAATCCACAAAGTGGAAGACAGTATGCAGGACAGCTGGTGCCAGGGCTGGTGACCCTCTCGCTGGTGAGTATGGACTAAGTGGCACCTGGCCATGACCCAGTCCCTAGTCTTGCCTCTGAAACCCAAGATGCAGGTTCTGGATCTAAAAAGATGCTGATCTGAGTCTTTCATACTCTGGGGCCATGCCAAGAAGTCAGCACTCTTATAAGGGAAGGGGGTGACTGGGCTGGGGAGGGGAAGGGAGCATCAGACAGTGTTGATGTCTGGCTAGTCCGAGTAGTCAGCAGTTTCCCCCTCATCCCGCCTGCTTCCAGCAGGACAGAAGTCTGGTAATCTTGTCTACCCCCAACCCAAACTTGGGAGTCTGGCAGCGACCTTGAGTGATGGAGTGAGTGCAGGGAGATATCCAGGCAACTTCACCTGGCGCTGCCTTCATTCCTGGCCCTCCGTTCTCTCTAGGGCCCCACAGACAACCAACCCCTTGTTGTGGACCTGCAGACAAAGGGGCTGGGGTGGGGTGGAGTGGTGAGTTAGCCCCACTGCTCACAGTACCTACAACAGCAGCCAACTTTCCCCCAGCCTGCCCTGCCCAGGCTCTTGGTGCAGTACTTCGGTTAAATCCACGGCAGCCTTACCGTTACTCTGATTTTACAGGAAATCTAAAGCACTGGGCTTAAACCACTTTGCCAGAGACACCAGTCAATGGTAGAGGTGGGGGTTGGACTCCTGGGTTAGTGGGGAATCCCTGAGGTGCAGCTGAAAGCGTCAGGTGTCTGGGCATTCCTGGTGAGGAGCTGTGCCCTGGGTAGAGGGTTGCCCACCCTAGCACATGGCACCTCTGTTCTGGTTGAGGTGACAGGGAAGTAGGTCTTAACGCCCAGGGAGGGACAAGACAGGGCCACTGTCCTTGGGGTTGGATGAAGGCTTATGGAGGAGGATGTCTGAAGCATGTGGCCTTCCCTGTCCAGAGATGACCACAAAAGAAGAAGCTGACAACAGGTTAAACGGCCACCCCACCCTCACCCCCGCTCCAGGCCCTTGAGTGGACATATTGGCCAGTCTCTGGTTGTCAGCTGGACAGTTTTCAACCCATGACTGCTCTGATCTAGGTCATCAACTTCTACTCCCTGGTCACATCAGTGGCTAGCCAGGCCATTAGGAAGCTAATGCATCAGCAAGTCTTTAGAGACCAAGGGGAGGACCAGTCAGTCACTCAAGAGCACTCCACTAATGGGGAGAAAATTACGATGAATCAAATATCTTGGGAGGGGAGGAGGTAGGCAGAAGGAAGGGATCATAGTCAAGTGGATATGGAAGGGAGAAATGACAGGAAGGTGTTACGGGGTGGTTATGAGGCAGGTGGTGATATTGGTGATGGTGCTAATGCTGCCGTGGTGGTTCTGGTCCTGGTGGTGACGAGGTAGATGGTGGTAGGTGGTGTGATTTTAGGTCTCTAATAATGGTGATGGCCCAATTATGGCAGTGACGATGATGGTAATGATGACTATATTAATGGTGCTGGTAGTGTTTATGGTGGGAATGGTACTGGCAACAATGGTGGTGGGAACACTGGCTGTGGTGATGGTTCTGTTGCTGCTAATGGAAAGGTGGTAGTTCATGGAGTTCTTTACTGCCATGACCGAATGAACGGTCGTGAGTAGCAGATGCTGTAATAGTAACAGGATCCCCAGGGTCAGACACATAAGAACAGCTTCAGGGTGGCTTTGGAGGTCCCTGGATCTTAGCAAGTCAGCTTGTCCTTCCTGGTCCTTATCACTCACTCTGCCTCAGCCAGCTCTGCCTTAGGTGTGGTTAGAATAGTGGGAGGTTAGAGCCGTGGGGCCAGAAGCACGTTGGAATCCAGTTCAGCCTTCCTGGGACTCCTAGGCATTAGGGCCAGCTGAGTCCCGAGAGTCCATTTCGGATCCAGGCTCCGGAAGCAGCAGACACAGGCATGCATGTTGAGAAGTTCTACAGCACACCCAGAGCCCACACATAGTCTTTTGCCCACAAACATGTACACATGCATGTCCACAAACACATCAGGCTCCAGGGCCCAAATAGACGTGTTAGGCGGTTCCTATGTGAGGCCTTACAGAAATGGGGCACATAGAAGTATACACCCTGGCCAGTCAGTGGGTGCACGACCAGTCACACGCACGCGCAGAGATGCTCGCGCTCCTTGGCTAAGCAAAACCAGCAAGACTGCTCCGCGGAGCCAATTGGAGACTCCTTGGCCTGGAAGCCCGAGCTGCTGCCGCCAAGAGACGCGGTCAATTAACTTCTCTCAGCAGCCGGACTCCCTGACCCAGGCCGCCCGCCCCCTCTCGCCGGCCGGTCCCCACTCTGACCCGCCTCCTTCCTTTCAGGCCTCCAAATTCTCTGCCCCTCGTAGCTCCACCCTTACTAAAGAGACCCGCCCACATGGCCGGGCACGGGCTTGCTGCCTGTTCAGAGAGCTCAGACTGTTCTCTGGAGTTTTAAGAGAGAGGTAGCCTTTCTAGGGGCTTCTCAGGGGCCATGAGATCTGACAGCCCTGGGCTGTCCCAGAGCATCACACCTATCCCGGGGTGTGATCCCTTAGGGGTCATACTCAGGGTGGGGATAGGATTGCTCCCAGGCAGGACACTGGCCTCAGCTTTCAAGTCAGAGGAGGCTCAGACCCTCTCCAGCAGCCACCAGTTCAGAGAGAGACTCTCCCTACCCTTCTGCTGTTCCCTTTTCCCTGGTTAAAATGATGTGACCGGGTCCCAGTGGGTGAACAGAGTGGAAAGAAGAGAATGAGGAATTCCTGCAGAGGGAGGTCAGCAAGAGCAAAGGCCTGTGCCTGGTCACACATCTCCACAGCATCTGCTAGGGTGGAGGAGCTTCCGGTGGGATGCCCGGCCCTAGAACTGCGTGCTTGGGTCCTTCACAGCCCAGCGATCCCCTAGATCCTGCACAGCCCAGTGATTCCTTAGAACTGCATGCGGGGGTCCTGCACAGCCCAGTGATTCCCTAGAACAGCGTGCGGGGGTCCTGCACAGCCCAGTGATTCCCTAGAACAGCGTGCGGGGGTCCTGCACTGCCCAGTGATTCCCTAGAACAGCGTGCGGGGGTCCTGCACTGCCCAGTGATCCCCTTGCTATTCAAAGAGAAGTTCTTCCATTCTCCCTCTTTGAGACCTCAAGGAGGGAGGATGAGACCCTAACCCTTTACTGGGAAAAGCACTGACTGGATGCTGAGCCAGAATGGAAAATGGTAACTGTCATGATCCCCAGAGGCCTTGAGACTCGAAGGAATCCAGGCGGGGTTTGTCTCTTCAGAGTTCAGCACTGCAGATCCAACTCCAGGTCCCCAGCAGGCAGCCAGGATCTTGTGAGGCTCCATCCTGGGACATTCCATCCGTTCCCATGTGCCTCAGGGGGATGGACTAGACAAAGAATGTCAGTGGATGCCGGGTTACTGCTGGACATGCAGGGGACAGCCCCCACCCCTTTCTCCTCCCTGCAAGGGCCCGTCCCAGCCTTTGTGTTGCCATGGCTTCAGAACTTTAAAAGGGGGAGCTTTGTAAGTCAGATGCTCCCCATGGGGCAGACTTCCCACATTCCCTCTGGAGGGAGGACTTTTGGAAAGGGGGACATCCCTGTGGAGGTCGGTTGACTTTGGGACCAGCTGCCTCACCTGGAAGAGCTGCCTACAGTCTGCTCTTTGGCTTGTCAGGTGGACGCTGACGATGTCTTTACCAAAGAGGAACAGATTTTCCTGCTGCACCGTGCCCAGGCCCAGTGTGACAAGCTGCTCAAGGAAGTCCTGCGCACGGCGGGTGAGAGTGGGGCAATGACGTGGCATGAGGTTGGCATGTGATGAGATGAGGGTGGCGTCTAGGAGAAGGTGTTAACTTAGGGTGGGCTTAAGGGAGACCTAGCCAAAGTAAAGGCCTAAAATGAAATCAGGCTCAGGTGGGCCATGTCTTCTCTCTCTCTCTCTCTCTCTCTCTCTCTCTCTCACACACACACACACACACACACACACACACACACAGAGAGAGAGAGAGAGAGAGAGAGAGAGAGAGAGAAGCCTTTGGACAGATTTGCTCGCATCTGCAGATGGAGATTGGAGGCAAACAACGCACATAGGCCAGTGGATTTAGATGGAGTGAGACAAGAGAGGAGCCATGATGAGGGCTCAGGGCCCTAACACGGTGGGCTGAGCGAGCTTCCCCAAAGAAAAGATAGCTAAGCCATGTCTAGAAAGACGGGGAGGTCTCTGAAGAGGCCATCCAGTTCCAGGGCAGAACTGGAGTCTCTAAAACCAGATGGGGTAGGTGGGATAGAGGAATCAGCCTATATATAGCCTGGAGAGGGTGTTTGACCTACGGAGGGGTTCCCCATAGCATCTCTAAGGGACCTTTCCCATGGGAAAGGAAGGCGTTACCCATCCAGCCACAGTTCTGACCCCTGACCTCAGGAGACTCTCAGGAGTCTCCTCTCCGCCCCCTTCCTCAAGTCCATTTCCTGGAAGCAGGTATAGACTACACTCGCCTTTGTCCAGGCTTTGGACTCTGGCTGGTCTCATCAGCACAGGAAGCCCAGACCCTGACTTACCGTCCCTCCAGAGCGGCTTTCTCCCTGGCTGACTCTCTGGTTACTGGGGGACAGCAGTAGTGCATTCCCAGCACACAAGCAAAAGTGAGATTCTCTGTGAAGTGTGTGGACTTGTTCGCATTCATTGAGACTCACTCTGTATATGGAGTCCCGCCTACCCTGGCCCCACCTGTGACTCCCCATCACATCAAGGGTAGGGGCAGATGAGCACCCTCATTTGATCTGAGCCTGGCTCTCCTCCTACTTGTGGAGCCTGTGGCATGGTGTGTCCATCTCTGATTCCTCATTCACTGTGGATGGACCCCCTCCCTGAGGGTGGAGGCAGGAAGATTCTCACAATCCTTGTCTTCCTAGTCCAGCTTGCCTGGATTCCACTTCTCACAGAGTCTGATGGAGGAGGGCCAAGGTACCCTGGCTTGGGCTATAGCTGAAGTCACAGAGGTCAGATAGCAAGGACTTTCCAGCTAAGGAGGCAGGGAGAAAGGCCAGGTTCCAGCTCAGATGGTGTCTTCAGGGTCATTTGCAGAAGCTGCAAACCCCTTACTCGGTATCATAGGGCAGAGGACGGGGTGGGTGCACTCATCTGCCTGCTTCTGACACAATGCAGCCTTTACTCTTGGCCTCCTTCACCAGCCTCCTCACCTGCCTAACACGCTAACCCGACTTGCTTTTCACCATTACCTCGCTGTCCCATTGCTCCCAGTTTTTGCCATGCGCCCTCTGGTGGGCTGTTCGCTTCTTCATGGTCCTGACTTCTGGGTTGCCAACCTTTCTACTTCACTCTCTAGCTGACCCCACGCTCATGGCATTTACCCCCAATTGAACCTCTGCTGGCCAGCTTTATTTCCTGCCCGTCCCTCCATCTGGCAAACCCTTCACAGTTTCTGAGTCACATACTAGTCCTTCATCTCTGATCGCCCAACAACCTGAGTATTGGCATTCTTGGTAGGCTCAACTCCTCATTGTAAAAAGGGGGAGCTGGGGGGGGGCAACAACCCAGGGCTGTTTTTTTTTTTAGCACAGCTGATGGTTTTAATTGTCCTGATTTCTCCAGCCAACATAATGGATTCAGACAAGGGGTGGACACCAGCATCCACATCAGGGAAGCCCAGGAAAGAGAAGGCTTCGGGAAAGTTCTACACCGAGTCTAAAGAGAACAAGGAGGTGCCCACTGGTAGCAGACGCCGAGGTATGTCTGTCTGGCCTGCCCTCTACCTCTCCCCAGGCAGCCATTTGACAGGCTCAGATCCACCTGTCCCTCCCATTATGTCCTAGTCATGTGGGTTGCTACAGAAAGTCAGACCACAGCTCTCTTCCCAGAGAAGCAGGCCAGGAGACACCCAAGGGGCAGCACAAGATGGGGGCGGGCAGCAGGCCAGTTGAGTGGCCTCAAGGCACAAAGAGATGTGCACAGTAGACTTCCCCAGCACTCCCCAGAATAGCACCCAGAACTACAGGAAACCCATAACCCACTGAGACAGAGAGAGGATAGAGTCCCGAGAGATGGAGTTGGGGAGAGAAGCAGAGACAGAGGGAACAAGATGCTCCAACCCAAAGTCTAGTACTTGGTATGTCAAATGAGGTACAGAAAGACACATAGTGGGAAGAGCCACAGAAACAGCAAGAGGGTAGGGCAGCCTCAGAGGGGTGGAGTCAGACAGTGGGACAAGGAGAGAAAAGGAGAGAGGGAGAAACAGGGTTGCCTCAGGGAGGTGAGGAGAGACAAACACAGAGCCCAGGCTGTGGCCACAAGGCCAGTTAGAGCCAGCAGGGTGGGCAGCAGATTCCAGATGGGCCACATCTGGGAGCCTGTGGTCACCCTGTGGCTCCCCAGGGACCAGAGGGAATTGTGGGCCTGGCGGGGTGGGGCTGGGAATATGGCGCCCAGGACAGAGAGTCTTTCACTGAGCAGGGCGGGTTCAGCCATCAAGGCTGCCTTCCAGGGAGGTTAGAGTCCTGTGGTCAAAGCCCTGTAGGGGGAGAGAAGGGGGCTGTAATCTGGGGTGGAATGTGGGTGATCTAGAGACTGGGGACCCTCTGAGGTCACTTAGCATGGCTGTCAGGGTTCCAGAGTGGGATGTATCACTGTCCTTTGAAAGTCCCCATTAGCGCTTGGATTTGGAGGATTGTACACCTCTTGGCCTCTTGGGTGGTTTGATTCTGGATCTTCTGTGCAGCCCTGGATGGTAGAGGTCTAGGCTGATATGGTCAACTTCCCAATGAGGAAATGGAGACGCAGAATGGGGACACCTGTGTGAGGTTAGCAGCGTGTTAGATGTCCAGCTGGCACCAAGAACCAGACCGCCTTCGTCTGTGGTCTCTAGGGAGGGGTCACATAGGGAGCCTCCAAGCTGAGGGAAAATCTGAGAAAATGCTCTTTTTCAAGTTGGTTGCAGTGGCGCACACCTTTAATCCCAGAACTCTGGGGGCAGAGGCAGGTGGATCCCTGTGAGTTCAAGGCCAGCCTGGCTTATATACATAGTTAAACAATGTCTTTTTTTTTTTAATCCCTTCTTCAGAGACAGTAGGTGAGACCAAGAGCAGAGAGAGAGAAAAGGCTTTGAGGCCAAGGCCTGTGTTATGTCACCTCAGCATGTTAGCCACTTCTCTTGTCCTTTCCAGACCTTCTCAGTACTCCATCACAGGGCTGCATTAAGTTCTCTGAAGCCAGCGGGTTTAGGGAGCAAGAGGAAGGAAGAGCTCACTATATTCTTTCCAGAATGCTCTAAACCTGAAGTTCCCAGTCACAGGGCACATTGCCCCTGTGGGAATCAAAGCTCAAGTGTGATTCTAAGCATCTGACCCTCCTTTTGTATCCCCTACTCTGTGTTTCCTTTGGGCACAGGACGTCCCTGCCTGCCAGAGTGGGACAACATCGTTTGCTGGCCACTAGGGGCACCAGGTGAGGTGGTGGCCGTGCCCTGTCCGGACTACATTTATGACTTCAATCACAAAGGTGAGACGAGCGGAAAGGGTTGAGAACCACGAGGATACCCTGAAGTGGGGCTCAGGCCTTAGTGACTCCAGACCTCCTTTGCCTGCCCTGACTGCCTCATTGCCCAACAGGCCATGCCTACAGACGCTGTGACCGCAATGGCAGCTGGGAGGTGGTTCCTGGGCACAACCGAACATGGGCCAACTACAGCGAGTGCCTCAAATTCATGACGAACGAGACTCGGGAACGGGTGCGAACCACCCCCACCCCATTAGTTAACCTTGACCTAGCCGACACTCCTAGCCTTTACTTCTCCAGCAACCTTAAAATGCCCTCCAGTTTGCCCTCAGTGCCCACCCTGAGACCCAGTTCTCTGTCTCTCGCCTGCGCAGGAGGTATTTGACCGCCTAGGCATGATCTACACCGTGGGATACTCCATGTCCCTTGCCTCCCTTACCGTGGCTGTGCTCATCCTAGCCTATTTTAGGTGGGCGGGGCAAGGGGCGGGGTGGGGGCAGGACAAAGCCGGGTGAGGGGTGGGGCACGGTCCAGGGTGGGACTGGAGGTGTCCAGGGTGCAAGCCTCCCTTCTCCCCCTTCACTGGCTCCATCCCCCCCTCCCCCCGCGTGATGTCCCCACCTACGGCACACAGCCCAGCTTCCTGCCCACCGCTGCGTCCCCCATGCCCTCACCACGGTGATGTCGCACGCCCCGCAGGCGGCTGCACTGCACGCGCAACTACATCCACATGCACATGTTCCTGTCGTTCATGCTGCGTGCTGCGAGCATCTTCGTGAAGGACGCGGTGCTGTACTCTGGCTTCACGCTGGATGAGGCCGAGCGCCTCACTGAGGAAGAGTTGCATATCATCGCGCAGGTGCCGCCTCCGCCCGCCGCTGCTGCCGTTGGCTACGTGAGTGCCCCGCGGGCTCCATTTGTACCTGCCTGTCTCTTGCTACCTCCTGCAGCTTCAGGCGTGCAAACCCATCTCGCAGGGACCCTCTCGTCTCAACTCAGCTCCCAGCCTTACTGCTAATGACTCCTAGTCTCCTTCCCTCCACACTAGAGTGCCCCAATCACCCCCTCTCACCTGGCCACCTGCTGCTAACATCCAACACCTACACCGGGTCTCATCCCGGAAGCTCAGAGTAAGCTCTGCCTTCTCATCTAATGCAGACCAGACCTGGCCTAGAAGATGCGGGCTCTACCTCCCGGCTAACTCTAGTTGGTCTCCTAGGCTGGATGCCGTGTGGCTGTGACCTTCTTCCTTTACTTCCTGGCCACCAACTACTACTGGATTCTGGTGGAGGGGTTGTACCTGCACAGCCTCATCTTCATGGCCTTTTTCTCAGAGAAGAAGTACTTGTGGGGCTTCACCATCTTTGGCTGGGGTATGGAGACCAATGTGGTGGGTAGGGAGGGTGAAGGAAGGCTTGCCCATCCTGCTGTGACTTGGACCCTGTTCTAGGTTTAGGGGACTCAACTTAGCTATGGGCAGGGTTCCCCAGAGCTGTTGACTTGACTGGCATTTCAGCCCACGTGGGGTGATAATTACTGGGTTTGAGATGAGGTTAAATGTGGGATCAGAGTGGGAATTTCAGTCACTAGTTATCCAGGGTTGGGGATGCAGTCTGGACCCTACCCTGACCCAGAGCCCTGTGGAGGGGCTCACATCTGTTACCAGGAGGCGAGGTCCCCGCGGTTCAGAGCCACAGGCCCAGGAACTCAGTACCACTTAACTTCTGTAACCTCTCTGCAGCGGATTCCTGGGATGCTGCGATCCTACCAGCCCCCCTCAGGCCCAGGGATCTAGTTACTGATAATTGTCCATTATTGCTGGCAGCTCCCGAGCTTGGCTGGGCTCTGGGGAAAGCTGCCAGACTGTGGAGGGGTGGGCCAGTGGCTAGAGCCTCCTGGGCTCAGCACCCAGAAAGCCCTTAGGTCAGTCTCCACAGCCTCCTCGCCCTTGGCACATGCCCTACCCCTGACCTCACCATAGCAAGTCCCAGAGCTGGGCAGGTCTGGGCCTGATTCCAGGAACTAACACAAGCTTCTGAACTGGAAGGTGTCTGGGTGGGCTGGAAACATGTGGATTAGGGAGCACACAGAAACTTATGATCTGGGAATGTCACACCCTTACCACAAACCCAGGTGACACCCTTTCCCCCCCAAGGATCCACCAGGCTAGGAATAACAGCCTGGAGGGGAGCCAGGCTCCCTTCACTCAGACTCCCATATGTCAGGACCCTGTGGCCTCTGCACAGCCCGGGACGACAAACTTCATTTTATCTGCCCTCATCCACGAAGGCTAGAACTCTCATGCCAGGCTTGGAGAGGTAGTTTTTGACAGAAAAATGCTATTCACTGGCTCTCCCCGCATGGAGCTTCCAAGCCCAGAGCAGAAAGAATGAGCTGGGAAAAGCTTTTGATACCACACATATCAACATATGCCCAGCAGGCATGCATAGGTACTCATGAGGTGCACATAACCTAAATGGGGCTGGCACTTCAGGTTGTTAGGGTGGCATTAAATAGCCCATGTGCGTAGGGTGAGGGGTGGGGCAGTGAGCTGAGGAAAGTCATTGGATTGGGGGCAAAATTCACAACCATTCCGTTGTTCTCTGTACACACAGGTCTTCCAGCTGTCTTCGTGGCTGTGTGGGTCGGTGTCAGAGCAACCTTGGCCAACACTGGGTAGGTCCAGCAGCAGAGTATTGCGAGGTGGGCAGGAACCTAGACAGAGGCTGCAAATGCTCTGGCTCCCTCTTCTGTGAATCATGGGGAGACTCCTGGCAGCAGAAGCTGTAGTCTCAGGGGTTTTTGATCCTCCTTCAGCCAAGAACCACCTCAGACTTATAGGAGGTAGCTTCCAAAGAGGCCCGGAGTGTATCAGGCCTACATGCAACACCTGTCCTGTGTTCTCGACGGCTCATGTCAGAGCAGGGCAACTCTAGGGCTTGTGTGGGTTGGCTGAGAAGGAAGGGGCCAGTGGTTAATGCTTCCTCCTCCCCCAGGTGCTGGGACCTGAGCTCCGGGCACAAGAAGTGGATCATCCAGGTGCCCATCCTGGCCTCTGTTGTGGTAAGCAGGAGTCGGGGGCAGTGTGGGCATGAGTGACTAGCCCTTAACAAGAACATCTACAGTGGCTTCCCTGGACCCCAAGGGCCAGAAACCCAAAGACCTGCAGACCAGATGATCCCTACTCCAGTCTAGATGGGGAAACTGAGGCCCCTAGGCACCACCTAGAGATGCAGTGACAGAGTAAGGCCTGTGGCATGACTCTGGATTCAGGAATCCTTGTGCCGTGCTACTAGGGTATAGTCTCCATTGCGGCCTCCCTCCACAGCTCAACTTCATCCTCTTCCTCAACATCATCCGGGTGCTTGCCACTAAGCTTCGGGAGACCAACGCGGGCCGATGTGACACGAGGCAGCAGTACCGGTGGGTTCTGGCTCTTTGGAGTCGGGTAGAGTTCAGGGTCACTGGTTGCCAGCACCATGTGCCCAAGAGAGGACAAAGGTCCTATGGTCGAGCTTGTGAGTCGCCTCTGGCTCTGTGTCCCCCCAACTCCCCCCTCCCACACACACACCGCTTGCACAGCAGTGCTGGGTCATTCTCTGTCACTTGGTATCAAGTTTTGCATTATGGCCAGGGCCTGCTAGTGTGGTACATACCAGCCACCCTCAGACAGCTGGACTCTGGGAATCAAAGGGGCAGATGGGTAGAGGCTGGCTCCAGTAACACATCTGCTCAGGAGAAACCCAACGGTTGGGTCATGGGAGGATGGGTGCATGCCAGCCGGCGCAGAGGGCCCGAGGACAGAGCAACTGTACCTGTGATGTACTCGAGGACACCTCTCAGGACCAAAAAACCCAAGTAACACTTTGCCTCTTGGCAGAAACCATCTAGTTGAACTTGGCTGCCAAGCGACAGTAGCCAGAGCCTCTGGTCCTTCCATCACTTCTGGAGCCTGGGCCTGGTTGGGGTGGGAAGATGAAGTGCTGTATTGTGGGGCAAAGAACATGGCCTAATCTCCATGCCCCAATGGCCAGGAAGCTGCTCAGGTCCACGCTGGTCCTTGTGCCTCTCTTCGGTGTCCACTACACCGTCTTCATGGCCTTGCCGTACACCGAGGTCTCAGGGACACTCTGGCAGATCCAGATGCACTATGAGATGCTCTTCAACTCCTTCCAGGTGTGTGGCCTGCCCAGGTCCTGGGGAACAGGGTGGGGGACGGGACGTGGTCCTGACTGCACGTGCCTCTCTTCACAGGGATTTTTTGTTGCCATCATATACTGTTTCTGCAACGGTGAGGTAAGTAGTAGGTGGCACAGGGGCAAGGTAGGAGAAGTCGGGGTAGGAGTTCCCCCAGTCTTGTCCCTTCATTCTCTCCCCAGCCCCCATTCTTTCTTTGCTCCTCAAGAACCTTTCTGACCACACTGAAGACATAGAGACAGCTTCAAAGATGATTCAGGCTCAGCCTATAGTAGGGTTGTGGGCTCCTCCGTGTGTGATATAGCAAAGAGTCTCCCTGGTCCCAGATTGAGGGTTCAGCCATCTTTAGACCATCTGAGCTTTAGGTTCTGGCTCTATCTGTTGTTGCCCACTGTCAACTGAGGATTGCCTGTGTTCTGAGGATCTGTGTGATTTGACTTGACCTTGGTGTTTCCAGTAGTTGCCTGTCATTTACTGCAGGGATGGTGTCAGGCGAAACACATGGCACAAGGGTTAAGGGCACACCTGACCGCCACCCATTTGTTTCCCCAAGGTACAAGCAGAAATCAGGAAGTCTTGGAGCCGCTGGACACTGGCATTGGACTTCAAGCGCAAAGCACGAAGTGGGAGTAGCAGCTATAGCTATGGCCCAATGGTGTCTCACACAAGTGTGACCAATGTAGGCCCCCGTGCAGGACTCAGCCTTCCCCTCAGCCCCCGCCTGCTGCCTGCCACCACCACCAACGGCCACTCCCAGTTGCCTGGCCATGCCAAGCCAGGGGCTCCAACTGTTGAGAATGAAACCATACCAATTACTATGGGGGTTCCCAAGGACGATGGATTCCTCAATGGCTCCTGCTCAGGCCTGGATGAGGAGGCCTCTGGGGCTACACGGCCACCTCCATTGCTGCAGGAAGAGTGGGAAACAGTCATGTGACTGGGAACCAGGGACTGGACTCCTGGCGTGGGCAAATGGATAGATGGACCAAGAGACCATTGGTTGGCTGGTTGTCCATTCAGGACTGGATCAGGAAGAAAAACAAAAGGAAAAAAAAAAAGAAAAAAAGGAAAAGGGAGCTATGTGTGGCTTCCTGTGTTTCATTCAAGGAAGGCGGGGTCTAGGAGCTATGAGAGAGTTTGGGGAGTCCTCACCCCATGGCTGAGAGAAGGACCCTGGATCTTATTACCTAGGCAGGATCTGGGAGTTGGGAATTCAGCATCGTCCAACAGAAAGATGACTGTGCTCTCAAGGCCCAGAAAAGGGTTTAAGAGGGGGCTCAGTTGGCAGAGCATTGACCTGGCATTCATGAAGCCCTAGGTTCCACTCCAGCACCTTAGAAACTAGCTGCACCAAAATCCCAGTTCTCAGATATTCAAGGACATTCTTGGCTATGTAGATCGAGGTAGGAGGCAGCCTGGGGTACATGAGGCCCTGTCTCAAAAAACAAACAAGCAGTTGGGTGGTGGTAGCACACACCTTTAAAGGAGGCAGAGGTAGGAGGATCTCTGAGGCCAGCCTGGTCTACAAGAGCTATTTCTAGGACAGGATCCAAAGCTACAAAGAAACCCTCTGTTGAAAAACCAAAACAAACAACAACAAACAAAAACAACAAATAAGCAAACAAAACAAAAACTATTGCCCAGAAAGGCTCAAGTCTGCAGGGATCACCGCAGCCAGCCTTCTCCTGTTGTCATGAACACTTGTGGAGTCAGGCTTCTTTAGAACAGGTCCCCTACCTACTAGCCCAAATCACTGCCCACCAGGGCCCACTCTCAGGCCTGAGGCTCTGCCACCAGGTGAACCTTTCCCATCTGGTAGCCACTCAGGGAGTCCTCCATGCATAACTGCAGCTCCCAAAATGGAAGGGACATACCTCCAGCCACCAGGTAGAGGTTGCAGGAACAGTACCCTGGTCAGTGAGTGGAAGTTGGGCTGTGTCTGCCTGGGCTCCAGAAGCTAGGAGTTCAGGCCCTAAGGTTAGCTGGGGTGCAGGTCTGTAAGACTAGACCTACTTATACCTACACTAAGTACACAGCGTTTGCTCAGTCTCCCCACCTGACACCTCCCTACCCACGCCCTCATCCTCTGGGACCTTCTAATCCAGCCTTGAACCATGTATGGGCCCTCAAAAGGCCTGACACAGGCTACATGCCTATACATGGGCTCCTTGTACCTCCCAGCTTTTAGACAGCTGGTGCTCCCATCAAATCCTCCCTTCTTCAGCTCAAACCATAATGTTTTTCCTCGAGACCCTCCTCCCCACCATCTGCCCCAGGCCGAAGCCATCTAACTCAAGCATTAGGTGGTGTGGGCATTTAACTAAGCACTCCTAGGCTAAGCCCTATCTGCCATTCTTGATGGCCAGCAGGACACATGACCATCCAAGGCTTCTAGGGGAGCACTATGTAGTGTGGATGGGTGACGCACAGGCCGGGCCCGCAAGGGCTACTGAGCCAGGCTGAGTTGGAGTCACTTGACATTCTAGAGGAAGAACCTAAGATCTGAGAACTGTAGCGGCCCTGTTCTCGTGTGCAGGGAGAGAGGGTTGCATTGAGGGTCAGAAGAGGCGGGAGAGCAGGTCAGTGATAGTTAGTGATAGCATCACCAAAGACCCTGGATGACACTGGCTGGGGAAGGAGTCCTCAGCAGGACAAGACCTCATTTCCCTTGCTGGGGTATGTGTTACCTCTGTACAGGTCTACACTAGCCTGGCATCTCAGCTCAGAGTTCCAGGACTTCCAGACTGCTACTTATTCTGTCTACCGAGTCTAGAAGCCATCTGGATATTGGGCCGCTGTCAGAAGGCCATTTTGGATCCCGTTACCTGAAAACATTCGGGTAGCACCCCGTGGCCAAGCTGTTACCTTCCCCACTCGGTTATCTTCATTTGGGTCCCCAAGATAGGGCTGCCATTTTCCTTTATAAAGGGGCTGGATACCCTAAGATTCCATCTTGCGTTATGTACCCAGGTCATACCAGACCGCCCACATTCAGCTGGACACCTCTTCAGCAAAGCCTGGCCTCCTCCTCAGGATGTTTGCACCCAGGATAGGAACAGCTGCTTTACCCTTAGGTTGAGTAGCACTTGGCCCTGGCTGGATGTCTAGGACAAAACTGGCCCCCACACATCAGCCTAAGACCAGTTCTCTGACTCTGGACTGGGAACCTCTGGCCCTAGGCTGGCCTTCACTCAGAGGCCCCCAAGTCCCACCTGGGCTGTTCAGGTGTTGGGAGAAGTGGGAGCCCTCAGCAGGCCTGGCAGATGGTCAGGGCCCTGTTTGTCTTGAACAGCCACTGGAGCCAGGTGGTTATTTCTCCCTGCAAGGCCCCGCAGTCCAGCCAAGCCACAAGGAACACATAAACAGAACCAGGGCTGGTAAATGAGTAGACAAGGAGGAGGGTATTAGGAGACCCCTGTCCACTGCTTTCACAGTCCGTAATCCGGGCACCTCACAGAATCCACTGGACTCCAGATCTGGTCAGCGTGGTGGCCAGGTCCAACTCTCACCTGCCTGGAGCCTGCCAAGAGGTTCTACCTCTCTGTGGGTCCTATCTCCTCAGCACCAGCTGGGAGAGCATTGCTAAAGATCCTGAGAAATTACAGGGCAGTGGTGGCTCATGCCTTTAATTCCAGCCCTCTGGAGACAGAGGCAGGCAGATCTCTGTAAGTTCAAGGCTACAAGAGCTAACTTCAGGACAGGCTCCAAAGCTACAGAGAAACCCGGTCTCAAAAAACAACAAAAAGGAGTTAGGTCCACTCTGAGGGAAGTCTTATGTGGGGCTAAGCCGCTGCCAGGTCAGAATGGAATCATGGGACTACAAATCCTAATGCTGACCACTCTTGGCCTGCAAGCTACAGTGGGCAGGCCATAGTAGGTCCACAGTTTCCAGTCCTCACCCCAAGGAGGTGACAGAGGGATGGACCAGGGGGAGGGTGCTGAGTTCTCTGGAGGTTCAAGAGGGATATGACCATGTCCAAGGGTCTCGGGGAACTCAGTCCTGCTGACTATCTGTGAAGCGACAGTCCTGACCCAGGGTCCTGAGAGATCACTGGCTCTGGGGAACAGGGGTATGGGGCTGGTGTGACTTCAGTACAACCAGGTTGGGTCCAGCACTCTCTTTGTCCTTGATGCCTTCTCGACCAATCACAGAATGATTCCAGCCTGAAGCTACCCCAGCAAACTGAAATAACCCTTGGTTTGGTGGGGCTGGTCCCACTGGCCAAGAGAGGCAGAAGGGGAAGGGGCTATAGAGTCCAGCAGAGGCCTGGGCCCTGGCTGGCTGTGTGCACACTGCGTTACTACCCTTTGTGAGCCTCAGCTCTGGTCAGGCCCTGCTCAGTTATCCTGACCCCAGGAAAGTCTGTCCCGAGGCTAGGTTTCAGCTACCTGGACAGGGTTCTCATCTTCCTGCTGTGGGCAAACAGGCAACCTTTCAGGATGCAAGGGGGAATCATTCACAGCTTCCTGCTTCAACTTCACTGTCATGTAGGCAGGGGAAGCATTTAAGGCTAGGCTGGAGGATGGGTTCTGGGACATAAAGTGGGCTCTTGGCCAGCCCAGACCTACCCCTTCATCAGTGTCTGTGGATCCAATCACTCCCTGTAAAGGCCAAAGAGAGGAGGTCTTTTGCCAGAACACCTCTGCCAGTCATATGAAGCACTTGTTCATCCAAGTCAACCTGACCCAGACTCTTCAGCATTTGAGTCAAAGGGTAATGGTGTGGACCACACAGTAGTTTTTGTCCAAAGGCCATGCTGCTACACTGTGTGCCCCAGCAAGACCACTACGATAGAAGGCTGCATTGTGCATAGATTTTTATGTACATTTGTAGGTCTGTGCGAACTTGTGTATTTATTTGTATTTGTGTCTGCTTGTGGTTCTACTGGCATGTATACCTCTATGTTTGAATGTGTGCCAGTGTATATTTATATCATGTTTGTATCTGTCTGTGTGTCTTTGTATATGTCTATGCCTTCTGGAGCATCTAGGAGACTGTGTACCAGTGACTTTTTGTTTGTATGCATGTCTGTGTACGTGTGATCTATGTGTGCGTGTGTGTGTGTGTTTGTGTGTACACCCGTGGTCTGTGAATGCCGCCTGTGGGTGGAATTTGGCTCTTAGACATGTTTGGTTTGGCTCTCCCAGTATTTTCAACATCTTGAGCCAACATTTAAAAATCGGGGTATTTCACATAAAAATTCAGCTTTCCAGCTTCTCTTAAAAATTCAGAAGCCCTGGCAGACCTAGACCAGGATTCCCATGAGGCCACTCTCCTCCTAAGCTGCACAGGGCCAGCCTCCTCCTTCAGCCTCTTCAGCCTTGCTTCTCTTGCCCATCATTACCTTGAGAATGGCTGGGTTTGGGACCCAGAGTGTGTGGTCACTACTAGATGTTAGGCTTTTAGGGAGTGTGTGCCTGAGTGTATATGTGCATACGACAAACCTACAAATGGTAGGGATCCTTCTATGTGAGGCAAACCTGAACTCTTCCATGCGCATGAATGCCTATATATGTACATGTATGAAGCCAGTGTGTGTGGGAAATGTATGTAAGGCTGTGTGTGTGTGTGTATGCGCACGGAGGGGGACATATTCATGGCCATGTGGAGTGTGTGGGCCATTGTGGTCTGGCATACTCTGCACAGGGGCCTCTTCCGCCCTTTGAGGGAGAATCGGATTCCCAGCTTCTGGCTGGGATGCCTTGTGGGGTTTATTTCTGTCTCGGTGCCCACTGAAGGCCTGAGTAATGGGAACTTTTAAAGAAAACCAGAAATACATACGGAAGAGGCAGGCTGGCCAGGAAACTCAGCTCTGATACCCTGTCTGTCCACAGCTGCGTGAACCCAAGGCCAGGTCTGAGTCTAGAAAGGAATAGCCCGGGATCCAGCATGTCCTCCCACATACTCTGTGGACTGCCTCGTTCTGCCAACTAAGAGCCATCTGGTGGACAAGTTCACTGCTCCACTGGGTTATAGTAAGCAGTGTGTTCAGGCAAAGGTGAGAGGATGCCAAGTCAGCCTGTGCATGGGCAAGATGCCCCTCCCCAGTCAGGTTTTCGCAAAGCCCATACACCCCCCCCCCCACACACACCATAAGTCAACCATG